GGAGAGACGGGCAGAGCTGGGTCCCCGCTTGCTGCCCTCCAGATGGGCCCAGGGCCCGGGTGGCGCTGGCAGGTGCTGCCAGCTTCTCGCTCTCCCCAGGGGCTGTCTCTGGGGGGACGGTGCCCCCCCCCCCCCCCCCCCCGGCTCCCAGCCGCCGCCGCCTCATTTAGGACGGCCCCATCAGCAGCAATTATTGCTTTAATTACCTGCTGTCGGCGCGGGCTGGGAGCTTGTAAAGTGCGATAAAATCTTTCATTTTAATGGAGTGCCAGGCCTGTCGCGGGGCCGGCGATTTACAGGGCTCCAGCTGGGAAGTTAATTCTCTTGCTGCAGAAACCCACGTTGCCTTGCAAGGGCCGCGAGGGGCGGGGGGGTTGGGAGGGGGGCTGGCGGTGGCAGGAGCCGGCGATGGCAGGGGACGAGGGCTGCTCAGCAGGGCAGTGCCCACAATGGCTGGGCCGCGTGGCAGGTGCCTGGGGTACGTCCCTGCCCAGTCCCTGGCTCTGGGCTACGGGGCTTCTTCTCTTCCCATCCCGTGAGCCCCACGGGGCAGCGCGGCTGAGCTGCCCTGTGCTGCCCGGGTGCTGTGGGGGTGTTGGCAGCACCATGCCAGGGCGGATCCAACCCTGGTGCAGGGCACGAGGTCGTGCCCGGGTGCAAGGTGGCATCTGGGGGTGCCCGGCCCCCTGCGTGGCTGCAGGACTGCGCGGAGCAATGCCATGCCTGCTCCGCGCCAGGCCGGTGCCCAGGGCCCAGCCAGCAGGCCCCCACCCCTGCTGCCGGCCGGCGCCTGCTCCAGCTCCATGCTCCAAGAACACTTTGACCTTCCCTTTGTCTGCAGCCTCCGCCGCGGCACGGCGAGGCCCAGGCGGCTGGCACTCCTCTAGCACCACGGACAGGGCCAGCACCGCGGCCAGGGCCGGCCTGGCACGGCGCCCGTCCGCCCTTGTCCGTGCCCTCGGCTCTGCCTCCCCCGGGGCGGCCAGGCGCCGCAGCAGGGCCCGGGGCCTCCCCAGTGGGGGCGGCTCAGGCAGGAGCTGGGCTGCGGATTTCCCCTCGGCGGCAAGGGCTGGGGCTGGGCTGTGGTGCGCTGGGCCGC